AAGAAAAAACAAATAATATTACAACAATAATGGGAGAAAGAAATAAACAAAGATTATTAATTAGAACAGAAAACACATCTAATTATCCTATTCCAATGGAATTTTAAATTCTTTTTTAGACATATGCTTAAAATTAATTTTAATTTTTTAAAAAAATCTATTTTATATAATATATTTTTTAATATTTATTAAAACTCAATAAAATATATACTATTAGAAAGTTTACAATCTCATTAAATTTACTACATTAGGAAATTCAAAACAACATGTTAAACTGACATACTCTGTACAATTTACTTAAAGACTAAATACTCGAATATAATAATATATTAGTAGCAAAAAACAATAGAAAAATTGTAAATAAAACAACAACTGCCAAGAAAACCACTCCATTCAAAAGATTAATGCCAATTACTAGCAAAAAGCAAACATAACACAGGAAACAAATTTTTCAAACCCAAACATCAAAAGTCCAAGAGCTTGCAAGAAGCAAATATGACAACATTAGTATAAAAGGAAATTGTTCAAATATAGAAAATATTTGAACCAACAGCCAGGAGTATACAGAAACAAGACTGAAATCAATTCAAGTTTTTCAAACAATATGAAAATAGAAATGGAAAAAAAAGAAGAAAAAAAAACTCTCACATATATTGAGAAAAAAAAGGAAAAGAACTGGATACATCAGTTCAGGGTAACGACAATAGCAACAACAACATTAACAGCAATAACAAAAATGTAAACACACTTTGCAATAGCAAAGTCTTGTTTAAACTTAACCAAGTATTCAAAAAAGACAACCAGGATAAAATTTGATTTATATGAGAAAAGATGTCAAGTATTTCCTCCCTTAAACATGTCAGAATGGAAGAGTCAACTGGAGAACCAAACATCATGACTATTTTCAGTAACTACACAAATGCCAAGAAAGCATGTACACATCCAATTTTGAAGTATGAAAACTCCAAACCAAGATTAGTACTGACACTCAGCATCTACAAAATTAATCATAAATTAGTCAAAATCTGAGATATTCTTCAACACTTTTTCAAAAAAGATATTATAACAGAATCCACCAATTTTGATTCCATTAAGTATATTCATATATAAACACCAAAACCACACAAGTCAGCAATAGTAACCTTCACTTATCAATTAGACTATAACACAGCCATAAACAATTGGTTAGTAACAATAGATGGCATGACAATGAGAATGTTTTCATACTACTGTATAAAAGAAACAAGACTAGAAAGAAATAAATTCAGTATTATATTAACCAAGTTTCAGACTCAATGACAGCTCAAGACCTTAGTGACATCATGCAATAAATTGGTATCAAATTATATCACATTTCACAAACAAATAAAACAATTAGAAGGTTCGCAAGTTAAAATTTCACCTCCCAGGAAGATTTTATCAAAGCAATAGCAAATGACATCAATTTCAAAGGATACAAACTTATATGGGTGGCTAGAACAGTAAAACTGTGCCACCACTATAGAGACACTGAACATATGATTGCAAACTGTAATATTAAATCTCTAGACAACTCTCGCTCAAGACATAAAACATATTCCAAAAACAGATTTCCACATATCAAGAGGAAATACACTACAACAACAAAAATCAGTACAGACACAATGGATCCAATAGAAGTTATACTGATATAACTTGAGGAACCAACATCTATCACCTCTCAAATAGCAAACTCCTTTTCTTCTTTCACAACATACAAAAAACAATAACAGAAGTACAACATCAGATAAATCAACTGAAGAAAAGAGTTAGCACATTGGAGGAAGACACAGTACACAGACACATAGATAAAATGAAAGAAAATACTAAATCTATCTCTGACTCTACAATCTTTACAACAGAACAATTAATTAAAACAGAAGATATCAAAACAACTCAAATTCAGATCAACAAAAAACTCAATGAAATAGAAGAAATAATGGCAGTTTGCAGAACTCTTCAGTAATGATCTTTCAAATCAAAACAGCCTCTCCAATCCAACTAGCTGTTAACAATAAGTAACAAACCAAATATAAGTAATCAAGTCTCAGAAAAGCAAGAAAACAACAATGAACCACAAAGAACAAAAGATCAAAGTAGTAAAACAAATCAATTAAACATAAATTCACTACATGCCACTGATTCATTATTACTCAAAGTCTTCACAACCAACATAAGAGGGATCAACAATAATAGCAAAAGAGGCATTTGGTTCATGCAATGGCACATTTATAATTGGAATGTAGTCATTATCATAATAATAAACAGCAAAGTCCAAAATAAAAAATACTGAAAAAACAACTTATACACAATATACTGGACATCCGGTACACAACAGATCAGAAAAGAAATCAGAATTAGTATCAAAATGCATATCACAAAAAGAATTATATGAAAACAGACTATTATGAGGAGGGCAATTTGTCTTGACCTAGCATTCATTAGGAAGAAATATCTCAGAATAATCAGTATATACTTATATAAAGTTCCATTAAAAAGAGCAAAACTTGAAATTGAAATAAACAAATGGCTAGACAAAGCAAACAAAAACAACTGGGAAGTCATTCTGGGTGGAGAATTAAATAATATTGTGAGGGTCTTTCGAGGTTCTCTCTATTAATTAAATTTTTAAGGCTGAGGCATAATAATTTGGTCCGAGTATCCTGCTCTTTTTTTAAAAAATAAACTCAAATTCATCCATTAGCATGCACATTCGTCTACTCAAACTATACTTAAGTTCCTGTTGTAGCAATAATGCATTCACACTTCCAAACTACTCTTGAAACTCTTTCAAAGTCCTTTATGGTCACAGTTTTACCTTCAAATGTCAACATATTTGCATAGTAGTTTATTTGAACAATTATTATTTAGCAATTATCATTCCTTTTTTATTTAGACATTTTCACTCTCCTTATATACATGCTAATTACAAAAAATTATTTCAAATATATTAACTATCTCAACTATCTAAACTATCACTAATATATTTAATTTCTCAACTATATTAAATATCTTAAATAAATTAAAGAAATCAAAGAAATCAAATAAAAGAAATATATTACAGATATCTCATTTTTCTCAGATTTGTCATTTTTGAGATCATCATTGCATAGACTCATGTAACCATGCAATTTCCCTTTCACAATATACATAGACCTTTACTTAATAGATTTTCACCTAGCAAGAAAAACAGTAAAGATAGATGGCACAGCAACAGCTTATTAATTAACAATCTAATGACAGTAAAAATGACAGATATATTCAGAAACATATATCTGTTAAGAAAAGAATATATATGAAAGAACTTGGCTTATAGTGGAAGTAGAATAGATCAGATATGGACCACATATAAAGGCAGCAGCATAATAATAACTGCAAACATACTCTTCCTACCTAAGCAAATGTACTATATAGATCACAAGATTATCACAACATACATTATCTTTCCCAAGTTACTGACAAACAAACAAACTAACAGAAAAAGATTACCAAACACAAGATACAACTGGATTGCAATCAAGATACACAAGTAGAAGGCATGAGCAAAGAAGATCGACAAAAAATGTGCAGAAACATTCAACACCTAGGCAAAGGATATACAAATAGATATCAATATCCAATAGAACAAACTAAAAGACATCATTCTTATGGCAACCAGTAAATACATCAGAAAAGTAAAAAAATATAAATGATACAGCAGAAACAAAGAAGTAACAATCAACACAGCAAATGCAATCAGTTTGATAGGTATATTGCAAATTATATAGGGAGCCAAGAACTTTATCAAAGATAACATGAAAATACATATACTACAAAGAATCCAGAAACTTACAAATGTTTACAGAAAGCAAATAGATCAGCCTACAACATGAATACCATTCCATATGACCGAATAGCTCACAGAAGTCAAAAACACAAGAAAAATTATGCAAGACACATACAAAACATTACTAGCAGAATCCAAGAAAAAGGTGATAAGCACAGTTCTCAAGATGAGAATGAACTGGATGAAAACAGATAAAAAAAAATAATAAATAGCATCTTGAACAACAAATGTATACAAATAGTATTTGACAAAATTATTACACAAGAAGAGGAACCAGAAGTCATACTAGATAAGGACAAAATTAAGCAAACAGTCAAAGAGCATTTTGTCAAATAAACAAAAACAGATACACACAATATTATTACAAATAAATTAATATATGAATATGTATCAATAAGATATATTCAGATGGAATGGTACAAGGACCTGACATCTAAGATCAATACGGAGGAACTTACAGAAGTAATAAGAAATACGAACAATAAATTTGTACCAGAACTATCACAAATACTATACAAAGCCTTAAAAAACCTAGGAGCACAAGCAACAGAAGTAATTAGAACAATATGTAACAATATAATAGCTACTAAAAGAATACCTATAGAATAGAAATATGGTACTATATATTCAATTTCCAAAATAACAGATTGGAAAAATGATTTATCAAAAGTTAAACCAATTATATTGCTAGAGTCCATAAAAAAGATATTCACAAAAATATTGACATTAAGACTAACAAGAGTTTTAATATTCTATCTGATTTTATCAAAGTATAACTGGGCAGCATTATCCAAGTTAAGTACAAGAGAACTAATAAAAATTGTTAACAGCATAATTAAGAATGTTAAGCTTTACAACAAAGAATATTAAATAGTCTTCCAAGACATGTTCAAAGCATATAATAGTGTTAACATCAACATACTTAAGTTGGTACTAAAGAGACTCAAGATCCCAACTACTTATATCAATTTGATAACCAAAAATTTTAATAATCAGATGAACACAGTCATTATAACAGTCAGGAACATAGACCCTTATAAAGTTCTAAGAGGAATTGATTAAAGGGATACAATTTTCCCAATTCTTTAAAGAATATACTATAATTCCCTTATTACCAGAATATTCAGAATAAAAGGTTATACATATATCACAAAGAAAACAATACAAAACAATTTATATGCATACATGGAAAGAATCAACATATTAGTTACTACATACATGAATAACTTCACATGAATGGCAAACAACAGAGAAGAAATGCAAAATATCATAAAAATGAAAGAATCATTTTACAACCTGACAGATATCCAAGTGAATTCTTAGAAAACATATATGATAGTGTTCGGACAAGAAAATCTATTCACAATTAATCTTATTGGGATAAAGATCAAATATACAAATGATCCAAAAAGATACCTGGAGATATGGATACAAAAAAAAGATGATAAAAGCTTTCAAAAGCAGTTATTGAAAGAATGGTTGATACAAATCCTCAACAAACTTAAATAGAAGCAAATAATAGACAAACAAACAGTATATATACTATATCATATGTTGTTTCTGAAACTGGAGTATCTTCTCAATGACATGATACTCTTAAACAGGGAAGTTGATAAAATAAACAGAAAAATAAGACACATAACAAAACACAAACTGGCATTTGCAACAACAGTCCTGAATATCCTTTTTCATAGCTGCCTAGAATATAAGATATTTAACTTATAGACTAGACAACTATAAAAACATGCAGCAAATACAAAAGCACTTATAGACCATTACAATATAATTTCATACATTATTAAATCCAACATAAGAAACTTCCAATGGAAAGCATAGATACCAACATCAGTAATAAATACATGTCTGAATTTATTTAGAAGCAACCAAAACTTTATACATGATATACTGAGAAACAGTTAAACATATAACATCAGAATTGCAATAGAAGTAAGAAAGGAAGGTACATATGAAGATGCATACAAGTTGACAATTATAGAAGAAACAATAGGAAGAGAATGGTTTGTAGAAATAGAGAGACTCAGAAACTGAAAGCTAAAATGAATAGAACAACTTCTTAATCAGATATGATCAAATACTAAGGATCCTAATGATTCTGTGTTCAATTCCATTCGATTTCAACTTTTATAATAAATTTAATAGATGGATTATAATCCATTTATGTTTTTTATATGTATGCGAGTCCATGCGAGTTCATGTAATTCCAATTTTCAGGATTATATCAAATACAATATATGAATCAGTATTATAAAGTCACTTAATATAAAAGCTGGCAGCCACATTCCAACATTCTATAAGAAAGTAAAAATGAAAATAACAGACCCAACAGATACACAGAGAAGAATGCTCAAAACACCAGGTAACAGAACAAACCCATTCATAGCATAGTACGAAACATGCAGGCTTATGTTAAAGGAACTTAAAAATCAATACCAAGACTGGATGCTGATTAACAGTGAAACTGAGCAAATAATAGAAAAACTAAAGAAGAGAAAACAAGACATTACAACACTCAAACACTATATCCAACAGTCTCAGGTATCAATAATAAAAACATGTGAAGATTGTGAAAAGAACACATATACTGACAAAAGAGGAAACATATATACAATATATACAAAGAATACAAATTGTATAAGCATACAAGTAGTAAGAACAAAACAAAGTACAAGAGATCTGAACAATATAAGAAGTAAACTAAAGATATTAATATTACCAATGAGTATCGAAATAATAAGAAGGACAAGAAAAATCAGTGACAAAGACCTTAGAAGTATTGATTATACTATCAGAA